GCGAGGCAGATCAGTCGCCGGCCTCTGGACGGACGCTCACGGGGGCTGCAGGCCGCTCACGCTGGCTGCTGGCTACACACGGTAGCCCATGGCAACCCACTGCAGCAGGGGCTGCAGCCTACACCATCGCCGGCAACCCACAGCAGCCCAGCTCCAGGTCGAGCTGTTGCTCACCATCTTAGCTGTAGAGGGCAGTGTCACTGGCCCTCATATGTGGGATCTGAACCGGGGCCCTCTGGCATCCCAAGCCAGCTCTTAACCATCGCGCCACTCGGCCGGCCCGTAGATTTTTTTTTACTTGTATTTCACGCTTTTTTCATGCTTGTTTTTGCGCTCAAACAACCACTGTATAAGACGCACCCAGTTTTGAGACCCCAAATTTTTCTAAAAAGGGTGCATCTTATACATGGGGAAATACAGTAGTTTTTTCCTTTCTTAAAATGTACATACATTTTTGTTGGCACCCTCTGTATTTACCATATGATCCAACACTTCTACTCTTAGGTGTAGACCCAAGAGGAATGAAGACACATTTCCACACAAAGACTTGTACTTGAATATTTATAGGAACATAATTCACAATAACCAAAAAGTGGAACAATCCAAATGTCCATCAACTGCGGAAGAGATAAATAAGATGTGGAATATCTATACAATAGAATATCATTCAGCAATAAAAAAGAAAGAACTACTGATACATTATACCTCATGGATGAATCTCAAAAACATCATGCTAAATGAAAGAAACTAGAAGCAAAATACCACATTACTATATGGTTCCTTTTATATAAAAAGTCCTGAAAAGGTAAATCTATAAAACATAAAGCAAATTAGTGGTTGTTTGGGGCTGGGGGTGGGAACAGGGATTGTCTGCAAACAGGTATTTTGGGCGGGGTGTGGGGGTGATAAAATGCTCTACAAGTGGATTGTGGTGATGGCTGTGAAAATCTAATTTATTAAAAATCACTGACTTGTGTGCACACTGGTGAATTTTATGGTATGTAAATTATACCTAAATAAAGAGGTTTTTTTAAAAAAAAAAACCACAAACCTGGAACATAAGAATATGAGCATCATCTGAAAAAGAAGTGAACACAAAAGGCGATACTGTTTCCAAAGAACAGAAGACCCCAGAATGGCCGCAGGTCTGGTTCTGGTCCAGCCTGACGCCTAGAGATTGACCTTCCATCCTTTACATCCCTGCAAAGCAAGTGCTCCTAGAAACGGAAGCAAATGTACCTATCTGCGATGCTTATATGTCAACCTGACTAGCCACGGGGTGGCCAGATTAAACATTACTTCTGGATGTGTCTCTGAGGGTATTTCTGGATGAGCTTAGCATTTGAATCAGTGGACTCAGTTAAGCAGTTGGCCCTCCCCACTGTGGGTGGCCATCATCCCATCCACTGAGGCCTAAACAGAACAAAAGGTGGAGAAGGAGAAATTTACCCCTTTTTCCCTGCCTAACTGCTTGAGCTGGGACATCTCATCTTCTCTGATACTCAGGCTGGGATTTAAAGCATCAGTCCCCGTTTCTCAGGCTTTTGGACTCAGACTGTATTACACCACCTGCTTTCCTGGGTCTCCAGCTTGCAGATGGCTCAGCCTCCAAAGTCACGTATCTTCTCATGATAGATATTGCCATCTCCCTCTCCACGTATCTCCTATTGGTTCTGTTTCTTGTAAGAACCCTGACTATGCCATCCTCTACCAAATGATGCCAAGCTCAATGCATCATCAGGCACAATTCTAGAAACTTAAAATGGCTCCCTGAAGACAGAGATCTCAAAGCATCTTGGTTTCCATTATTCACAAATCACTTCAAGCATCCAGCTGCAATTTCAGTGTGTGGCATTTAATCTGCACACCTGACTCACAGGACTTTAGAATTCACCAACTATGACTGTATCTCTTTTTTTAAAAAAGCTGCTCAATTATCAGACCCACAATTTATCAGATCCTCTCTCAAAACCTCTCAAGTTATACAATCCAGACCCCAGCTTCCAAGCAGCATTACCCCAATCCACAAGGACAGGCAGGACAAGTGAGTAGATTCTCTTTAAGAATCATCTGACTTAGGGCTGGCAGAGTGGCGTGATGGTTAAGAATTGGCTTGGGATGCCAGAGGGCCCTGGTTCGGATCCCACATATGAGGGCCAGTGACACTGCCTGCCACAGCTAAGATGCTGAACAACAGCTCAACCTGGAGCTGGGCTGCCGTGAGTCACCGGCAACGGCGTAGGCTGCAGCCCCTGCTGCAGTGGGTTGCCATGGGCTACCATGTGTAGCCAGCAGCCAACGTGAGTGGCCACCAGCCGCAGTGAGCAGCCATCCAGAATCCAGCAACTGATCTGCCTTACCCGGGAAGATCGCATGATGGTGCCAACTTGGGCCAGTGAAGCAACGTCCTCCACAACTAGACTGAAGAACAAACTGACAGCAACTTGTCTGTTCCCCTTCCCCCAATTCCCCAGCGCTGTTCCCATCCCCCCAATTCCCCAATAAAAATCTTTTTAAAAAAGTCATCTGATTTAATTTGATATTCTATTTCAGTGTGTAGTCACCATTAGTTGTTAGATGTCTGTTCTGCTGATCCTAACTTTTTTTAAGTTCACCCTACTTCCAGGGCACCTGAAGTAGAGGAAATAATGTCTCCCTACTTTTCAAAGGGTGATAACACTTGAAAATGACCATGAACGATACCTCTCAATGTTCATTTTCCTTCAAGCTTTCCTCTTAGGTGCTTTTTTTCTCCCCTTCTGGCCACCTCTGGTTCTTTATTTTGTTTTCCCAAAGGCTCTAAATTTTCACACCCCATCAAGCATGACAACCAGTACCAGGTACAGAATTCTAAAGTAATGCCAAAGTTAGCAGACAGACTAGTTGCCAAATCCTTTAGAATAAGTTCATTCCTAACAAACAAACAAACCAACAATAGCCTAGGGAGAATGATGCCATAGTATAATTAGAATTACTCAGGAATGTGAAGGAATTCCTGGATGTTTAGAGGAGGATGAATGTACCAGGAGGTATATAGTGGCATGGTAACAGAATGACACTAAGTCCCCTGGAGGACTAGAGTATTTCTAGGTCCTGACATACCCATCAGTCGGGATGGAAAAGAAGCATTTTCTTACTTGCATTTTGCTTTAATGTAATTCTCCTTTTAAGGAATAACTGTTTCTTTGACATTCCTTACACTAAATCCAAATTACGTCTTTTCACTTGTGCAACAAATATGGAATGACAGACATCAAGTGCTGGGAGTTATCTATGATCAAAAGACCTTCTAATTTTACTGATGAGGACACCGATGGTTGGGGTGAGGGTGGGGGAAATTATCACCCAATGTTCCTTAGAGACAGAGCTGGGTCCTGGCCCAATCTTCTTTGACTGGAGACTGTCTCTGTCTGTGAAGGAGGTAAGTTAAGAAATCAAGATCAAGGGCCGGCCGAGTGGCGCGATGGTTAAGAACTCGCTTGGGATGCCAGAGGGCCCCGGTTCGGATCCCACATATGAGGGCCAGTGACACTGCCCTCCACAGCTAAGATGCTGAACAACAGCTCAACCTGGAGCTGGGCTGCCGTGAGTCACTGGCGACGGTGTAGGCTGCAGCCCCTGTGGCAGTGGGTTGCCATGGGCTACCATGTGTAGCCAGCAGCCAGCGTGAGTGGCCAGCAGCCGCAGTGAGCGGCCGTCCAGAAGTCGTCGACTGATCTGCCTCGCCAGAGAAGAGCACAGAGATGGTGCCAACTTGGGCCAGTGAAGCAACATCCCCCACAACTAGATTGAAGAACAAAACGACAGCAACTTGTCTGTTCCCCTTCCCCCAATTCCCCAGCACTGTTCCCATCCCCCAAATTCCCCAATTAAAAAAAAAAAGAAATCAAGATCAAGAAAGAACAGGAAAGACCCTCAGAGTGGACAATATTAGTATGTGAATGGGACAAAATGAAGCGATGTATCTTCCCATTTCTTTTCCTAACAGGAACTCAAAATCAGCCTGATGCCTTATTTTAGAGGTTAACTTGTTCAATCCATGCTCCAGTGATAATTACATAAACGATACCACTTGCCTTGTTTCTAGAACTTCATCTTCTGACTTAGAAGAGAAGGACCAAGGCTTCCACCTCAGGTAAGGAGCTCTGCCTGGGTCCCAGAGAACCCTGATGCTCCTGCTCCCCTGCGGAGGGCACCCTCAGGAGAGCTCTACCTCCTGGGACCTCTTCTCCCGCTCCCTCTGGGAACTCCAACTGGAATAGCCAAAGAGGCAGGAGGCTCTTTCCTTTTAGAAGGAGGGAAGGAGGCTGAGGGCCAAAGCAAAGGGATGCAGAACTGTCCCTAGCATAGGTCACAATTTCTCAAAGCACAAAGCCACAGGTCTGGAAGGATGAGCAGTTTGGGGAGGCATTCAAAGTTATAGGATAACCCTGGCACAATTTCCAAAGACATGCTCTTATTTGAATGTTTTTAGGGTGGGGTTCCATTATACAATTCAAACCAACACAGCATTATCCACATGCCATTGAGGGAACTTTTAAGCCAAATCGGGAGACTTGAACACATAAACGGAACAGAAGGGATAGAATTCTATCCCACTTCTTTTCAGCTGTGGTAGGGAACTTGGGCTATGCCCCCATATTAACTGGAATATAAGTTCATGTTTCTCTGTTCTTAGGGAAACTTTGGTGGGGAGTATGGGAGCGGTTGGGATACTGGCTCCAGCAAAAAAGAATCTTGGTGGTCCACGGGAAGGAGACAGCCAAATGGGACCAAGCTACAGTACACTTGCCTGACCTTGCTTTCTGCCCACATCCTGAACGGCTGAATGGGGCCTGAGTTAGCTGGCAGCTTGAGGGATAGGGCCTTCTAGCTGTCCCCCTCAGAAACACAACCAACAGGCACGACCGGAAATCACATTATTATCTGTGGGAGTTTTCAGGCAAGCATTTTACATGTTTACATTCACAAAGTTAAAAATATGAAAATATAATACTTACTGTGTTTTTCTGAATTTCCATATCCTGAAAAGAAAAAGAAAAGGCAAATATAGCTTTTCTGCAAAACAGTTAATTTCCAAAAACAAGTACAGTAATACCTTGGTTTGTGAGCATGATTCGTTCCAGAAGCAAACTACTCGTATTGCAAGCCATCGCTTGTTTACCATGTTAAAATGTATTAGAAATGTTTGCTCGTCTTGCAGAACACTCACAAACCATGTTACTCACAATCCATGGTTTATACTTTGTCCCACCCCCCATCATCCAGCACCCATGTAGAGCAAGAATTAATCATCTGAAACTTTGCCCTGCGAAAGCTTCAAATAGGATGAGCCTCTGAGAATTGCAAAATTCATGTTGTAAGGAAAATGTATCATAATTGGTTAGTTTTGGAACTTCTTGGGGCCATTTGTGGTTATATGGATTTTCCCATAGCAGTGGCAATGCTTTTGCCCCAAGATAGTTTGAAATTCAAGTTTGGGGCTCTGAATGCCCTACGCCTTGCCATCCCAGTGAAGAATGTCAGTGACAGCAAGGAAGTGCTCGGGAAACGTGGTATCCTCGGGTCTGAGCTGCTTCTCATCAATGTCAAGGCTGCAGGCCACCCCACAGCCAGCCTTCCCACAAAAGGATGGTTGCTGGTAGGATTCCTGACACCTTACTACAATTGACTAGACATTTTCAAGTTCAATGACAATTTTAGTCAGTTAACTTAGCATAATGGTTATTATGCAGCCCTCAACTGTATCATTTATTCACTGCAAGCCAACATTTGCCAAAAAAAGAAAACATAATTAAACAGCTGCCCGCAGAATGCGTTTTACACGTTCTGAAATTTCTATTATCTAATGTCAAGTGCAGATTCCTTCTTCTGGCATCCGATATAACTGACGACCCACTTCCATTTTAGGAAATATTTTTCCACATCATGAAAAATGAAAACTTATCTAGGTCATGAGGCTTGCCAGAGGAGTTCACTAAGGCACAGCTGAAGAAAAAAAATGTAGTAAATTGGAAAAAAAGACATTCTAATTTCATGTTTTTCATCAAGCTATAGTTTAATAATCTACTCTTTCATATTTTCTAATTTTACATATTTCCAAGCAAAACTACCTCAGTGAAAATCAGTAAAAGAAAAAAAATCTAAATATCTAAAATAAATTAGATTGGTTATAGCCTTTTGGGAAACTATTCTACAATGTACAGTACAACAATAAAAGTTTCTTCTTTCAATGTTATATGAATGACTTCTTAAAACACAGTACAGGACACACACTTATGTAAAGTGTATGTGATATATAAGACATGCAGGTTACATATCTGAAGCAGGTGGTCTTTCTACCAGGAAATAATCTCAAATTAGTATAGAACCCAGAAAATTCTGCTTAATATTAAATCTCAAGAAACAAACAAAAATGTCCAACTTTGCCATCACAAAACTGTGCTATTTATAAACTAGTGATTTTTAATGCTATGGGAACTGGACATTTAGAAATGATGTCTGTGAAAGCTAACTATGAACCACTGGTTCTCACCCCTGGCTGCACATTCGGGGGGTTAAAAACATCCCCTCGAGATTGTGATGTAATTGGTCTGTTGTGTGGCCTGGGCACTGGGATATTTACAATCTCTCCAAGTGATTCTAAAGTGCAATCAAGGTTGAGTAACACTGCTGTAAACAAACTAAGCTTTTATTCCTGAAATAGACTTAACACAAATCAGGATTGTCTGACCAACATTAAGACATTCAACAATGTTAATTTATTAGCTGAATTTTGTAGTAACTCACCTTAGATATTCACATTTTACAAATATGAGCATGTTTTAAAAGTACTGTTATCCAAAAAAGCACTGGCTTTCAGTTTGCAAAACACAAAAAAAAAGTTTGCAAAAACACATTTAAAACATTCTCAATAATTACTGAGTTGTGCATGAACAGACAACTCTTCAGTTTTGCTCTGCTTTAAATTGGGGGAAAAACATTAGATACTAATTATATCTGTGCTAAAACTTTCTGCCCATTTTGGTAATTGTTAAATGTTGTCTTATTATTATCCAAGTTGAGAAATGATTTTTTAATGTGTAGGTTTGGGTGAAATTGTCCATGAAAGGATTCAGAGTGGTGTGTTATCTTCAATGGAAACTAACAGGAGTTTGGGGCTTCGCGTCCCTAATGGGCCTGGAAACGTTCAAGTTGCCTGCTAACGCACATCTGTAGCACAGATGCTCCCACAGTGGCTAGGAAGTCATCTGTGTGAGCTAGAACCTGTGGTAGGAAGGACGGAATTGCACAAGCAAATCTTTATTGTTTCAACTGAACATATAATACTGCTTTCCCCAAATAAAGTATTCAGGAAAAGGTGAACAATACCCCTTACCTTCAATGAAAGAGTAGTGTCAGCATCGATGTCGTAATACAGGATCACATTATTGGCCATGTAGAAGCTTTCTCGAACTCCAAGATAGTAGAAGAACGAAGACTGTCTAGAGATATCACTCATGTCCACCACCGCAACATCTGAGAAGAACAAGGAGAAGACATGGTGTGGGGGAAACAGATGACCTGTCTACTCAACCCACTACCTGATGATCACCCATGGGGAGCTACTGCAATGTGTATTTCTACCATCAGCTTTTCAGGTAAAGCACAAGTCAGGAGTGATTTCATTAAAATTACCCCATGAACTCCGGAAGAAAAGCAACAAGAATTAATAATAATAATAATAAACCCAAACCCAAACCCAAAACTCTTCTTTCTTCAAATGCTGGGAATGTAGCTTCACTTAAACATTGCTGGTGGATTTATTTTTAATGTTATTTTTTATTAGGAAATACGTCACATCCAAAGAATATATTTAGCTTATATATGAAGTATAATGAAATGGAAAAACCATGCACCCACCACACAGCCCAAGACACATAGCATTATCTGTACTGCCGGAGCCCAACATGTTGCTTCCTAATCACACCTCCTCCGTCCTGGCCGGAGTACACCTCTGCCTGATCTCTGTATTGACCAGTTCCCTGCATAAAGATGCATATATTATTACAATATATGCATTCCTATACAGTGTATTGTTTACTTTTGCATGTCTCTGAACTTTATAGAAATATTATCACAGCATATATATTCTTCGACTTGCTGTTTTTGGTGTGATACCACCAATGTTTTTGTCTAGCTCTAGTTCCTGCATTTCCACTTTGGCATAGCATTCTATTATATAGCAACTAGATGGATAATTTCTTTATCCATCCTGTCTAGACATTTCATTCCTTTTCTGCTTCCAAATGCTGTAATGAACATTCCTGTGCCATGCTCCTGGCTCACATGTCCACCATAAACTTGACAATGTAGATCAAATGCCCCTGGAGTTGTTTTCCAGAGAGACCTATTCAAAACAGGGGAGCAACATATTGCATCAATAGGGAGTATGTTTAAATTTGCCTAGCAGTACTGGGCACCATTTCAAAACGTGTCATTTTCGAGAGAGTATAAAAGCTGCAAGTTTGATTGGACTTTTGCTACCACGTGCAGAGATTTGGGAAAGTGATATCCAAACATGCCTGTGCTACTATGACTCATAGGAAGTCATTGAAAATCCCAATGAAAAAGAACGGAGGATAGGTGAACAGAGGTGTGAAGAAACAAGGCGGCAGATAGAAGTCACACCAGCACCAGGCACAGCTGGCTCTGCGCAGAGGCTCTGGGGGGCCTGAGGCTGAGCCTTTTATTCTCTCATTTAAGGATTGCCTACTACATGCCAGGTGTCATGCTGGGTACTGGAGATAGAAGTGTGAATGAGGCATAATCCCTTTCCTCAAAAAAGTATATAATACAACACAGGTGACAGGAAGGAAGTGGTGGTTAGAATCACCATGAGGAGGGCTGAAGTGAGGGAAACAACGACAGAAGCATCCCTGGGAGGCTACCTAACCCACACTCAGGTGGAGGACGGTCAGGGACAGCCTGGAGGAAGTGATGTTGTCTGGGACCTGAGGATTCATAACAGTTAGGCAGGCAAATCAGGGTGAGGATGGGGGGTTGGAAAAGAAAGAAATGAGTGTTGTAGGAAAAGACAGCAAGTGCAAAGGGCCAGAGGTAAGATGAGGTATAGGTGTTAAGGCCACTGCAAATAATTTCATGGGACCAGAACACCTGAGAAGATGAATCTGGAAGGGTTAGCAGGTGACAACGTCTGAAGGCCATGTTAAGAGGGCTGGACTCTACCTTGAAGTAATGGAAAACCTATGGCAGGGTTTTGTTTTCTTTTGTTTTGTTTCGTTTTTTACTTTCTATTATGTAAAATTATTATACTAGGTGTTATCAAACAATATGATGAATGTTTAAATAAAAAGGAATTTAGGGCCGACCGAATGGCACGCTGGTTAAGAGTTGGCTTGGGACGCCAGCTCTGAGCAGCAGGGCCCCAGTTCGGATCCCACATGGGCCAGTGATGCTGCAACCTCTACAGCTAAGATGGTGAACAACAGCTCGACCTGGAGCTGGGCTGCTGTGAGTCGCCGGCGATGGCGTAGGCTGCAGTGGGGCTGGGCGGCAGTGGGCGTGCGCTTTTGTGAGCTGCTGTGAGCCACCGTGAGCGCCCGTCCAGAGGCTGGTGAGCGACTGCTTCACCCAGGAAGAGTGCAATGATCACAATACCAAGCATGGGCCAGTGAAGCAACCTTCTCCACATCTAGATTGAAGAACAAAAGGACAGCAACTTCTCTGTTCCCCGTTCCCGATTCCCCAATGCTATTCCCCTCCCCCAATTCCTCAATAAAATCTTTAAAAAAAAAGTAAGAAATTTATTATGGTAAAAGACACATTGCCATTAATCCCCCTCAAAATACTCCGCCTAGCTTCAAACACACTTATCCCATCGTTCTTGCCACTTTCTGAAGCAGTTTGGGAAGTCCTCTTTTGTGAGTATCTTCAGTCGTGCTGTTGTGGCTGCCTCGATGTCCTAAATCATTTTATTTTTGGAGAAGAGCCAGAAGTCAAATGATGTCAGATCTGGTGAATAAGGTGGATGAGGACACACTGTAATGTTTTTATCTGAAAGAAATTGCCGTATATCAGAAGCGATGTGTGACACGGAGTGTTGTCATGATGGAGGATGATTTATGACACACTTTAAAACACACCTTCTCCCAACCATAGCTCACACTCAACTGACTGCACCAAACAAGTTGAAAGTTGTCACACACTGTTACTAAGGTTTGACGGACGCGCTGCTTCCTGTATTGAAGATCCCTGCCTTTCCATTGGATGGCACTTGGCAGCAGCATTTACCATATTTTGTGATCACAACAGGGAAAGTCTCCATGTCACACATCAATTCTGGTACAGCAATTTCTGTCAAATAAAAACATTATGGTGTGCCCTCATCCACCTTATTCACCGGATCTGGCACCGTGCAACTTCTGGCTCTTCCCCAAAGTCAAAATGACCATGAAAGGTAAACATTTTGAATGGATTCAGGACATCGAGGCAGCCACGACAGGGCAACTAAAGACACTCACGAAAGAGGACTTCCAGAACTTCTTCAGAAAAGTGGCAAGAATAATGGGATAAGTGCATTTGAAGTAAGGCGGAGTATTTTGAGGGGGGTTAATAGCAAAGGGTCTTTTACTGTAATACATATTTTTTATTTAAACATTCACTGTATCTTTTGATCACATCTCGTACATAAAAGTAGACAGAACAGTGTAATGAAACCCCCATACCCGCTCACCTCCCTCAACAATGGTCAACTCACAACCAGCCTTGTTTCATCTCTATTGCCATCCACACTACCCCATTCCACATTATTTTGAAGCAAATCCCAGACATCATAGCATTTCATCCCCAAATACTTCAGTGTGTGTCGCTAAAAGGTGAGAACTCAAGCAAAAATAAATGACCACAGTGTCAATGTTCCACCTAAATTTTTTTCAAAAAATAATCATGCGGGGTTTTAAACAGGAGACTAACATACCCAAATTTACCCTTTAGATGTTATTGCTCAAGAAAGGACAAATGTATATGCTGAGGAAACACTTTACAATCCAGTCTAGTTAATTTATCTCAAACAGATAACTGTTCTCCACAGATATTTGTTTGGAGTCAAAAATCACACTGCAGTCGAATAAATTAGACATTCTTCCTATGTGATTGTTCCCTGGACTCTATTACCTACTTAAATTAAAAAGGATGTGTTTCCTTGTGATGCTATTAAGAAGTGGCGACATTGGGGACTGCTATAATTAGTTAATAAAGGAAGCAAAGGGAGGGAGACAAATGAGAGGGATGGGGAGGAGAGCAGGCAGGGGTGAAGGACAGCGGCCTCCAAGTTATACAGGCCATTTTTGTAGGAAACCTGCAGCCTGGTGGCGTAGTATATCACCTAGGAAATTAAGTTTTCATCTAGTGACACGAGTTCCTTCTTTCCGCTGCCTTCTCAACGTTCTGTCCACTGGCTTCACCACCTCCTCCAAGGGTTGGGATAGACTTTCCAGTGCCTGATTAACACAGGACAAGCTGATCTTGCTACTTAAAAAAATTCTGAGTAATTCATATGCAATAGGAAAATGATCTCAAACCCAAAGTTGACACTTTTGCCTGACATTTGTCACTTGGGCCAGTAGACCGAGTTTACTTTGAGGATTTATACCACCACAATATTCCACCAGCTTATTTTTAGAACCTCTAAGATACTATTGGGTTGTCGGAAAAGTCATGATGCATTTCTGCGATGAAAAACATAGAAAAAATACGTCATGACTTTCCCGACAACCCAATAATTTACCAGATTTATAAATGCTAAATATGGTAAACCACCAGATTGGAAGTTTTATTATATATGAAAAATTGAGGGGTTTTATTTGTTTTACTAAAGAGACCATAAATTACCTAAAAGCTTTAATCATCACACTAGTTACTTGCTTTGCCATTTACAAAACATTTACACAGACATCTCGGTTGAATTTCAGAACCACCCTGTGAGGCAGGCAGGGTAGGTATTGGCTCCACTGTGCAGGTGGGGAAATGAAGCTCAAAGAAGGTAACAGACTCAGCCAAAGTCACATAGCTAGGGCACAACGAGCTAGAACCCAGCCAAGTCCTGTGCTCCCCGGGGCCCAGCTGAGGCTTACTACTTTCCTGACTCACTTTCTGAAATTGAGCCACCTGGGGCAAACAGTTTATTTATTAAGTAGAATCTTAGGCAAACAGATCACAGATAGAAAGAAAGAGATAAAATCCAGACTTTCATCTAGAAATGTACCCTGTGCTCCCAGCAACCGTTACCTTCCAGTTTCTACTGACAGCCTGCATAGAATAAGCCATTCTCTTTGATCAAGGACCACCCTACCTATCTTGGTTTAACAGACCTTAAGAAGTGCTACCACATCAGGGACTGCAAAAAGCCAAGGCTCCTGTTAAAATCTACTCTTAGCAAAAAATTGTCTACATTTAAAATCAAAATGCCCTTCTAATAATTTAAGAATCATTTACAATTATCTCACTACATGCTAATA